GACAATATTCCGGATCGAATGAGTCTAACCACTTAATTTTACTAATAGTATGTCCATTTAACACGAATCTAAACTTATAGCCCAGACTATATAGAGAAACTAACAGTAAAATCAGAGAGAGAATAGAAAAACCAATTTCATTAGTTTGGACATGTTGAAAGAATGAAAGACAAGAACATTATTAGAGAAGTGTTTAAAGCAAGTAGAGTCCAGAAACGAAGAATAAGTCGGCAAAAAAAACATGATTGAAAGTTGTCGGAAGTGCCGTGGTAAAAGAAGGGGTTAATTGAAAAGGTATATAATACGCCGAATAAAATAGGAAGTAACGTTATAATACGTATAATACGCCAATTATGTATAATACGGGTAATATGTATACGCCGAATGAAATGGGGGTGAACACGACATTTGAAATAAAAGGAAGTTCGAATTGAAACTTTCACATTTCAAATTTTGTGTCCATAATTTAATTAGTTGTTGAGTAGATTCCCACTTTTTCAAAGAATTTCGTCAGAATATCTTTGTTTTGTTTATTTCAGTATTTTACTCATTCATCTTCATTGAAATTTCAGATTTGTCAACCATTTTTGTACAATTGAAGTCTGAAACTGGAACTTTTCGATCACCTCCGGATAGGCCTTCAATTTTCTTCAGCAGTTGGCATATGCAAGTACTTGCAATATTTTTGAAATCACTCCTTGGCTTCTATTTTATTGTTGGATCTCCCAAATATAAATTTCATAACAGGAATAGACTCGTTAATAAATTATAGCGATAGATTGCACCTGATTCGGTATTTGTTACATCTCATATGATTTTTAAATCAAAAATAATACCAAAGTTCTCAGGATTGGTAAAAAAATGTGAATGCTGAAAACATACCAAGAAAAATCATCATTACGAATATAGGCATCTTCTGATGATGCTAACTTGGTTTGCGAAACGAGCTTCGGCAGAAAGTTTACTAGTTCTGGTGTCTGAAAAAAGTGTTTTAATTAACTTCATTATTTCATTCAAAAAAATAAATCGAATCAAATATAAAAAGCAAATTTCTGAATGAAACATTGAGGAAGCTATAAGATCAGAAAACACACGTTACAGTTTTGTAAAGTCTCCAGTGAAAATTTCACAGTGAATTGTCACTTGAATACGTCGCGAATTTTCATCTATTACCCAATTTCTTCACGCACTGAATAAATTTCATACTGTGATTTATCCAACTTGTCAGTATAACTTCTCATAAATTTTACCGCATGCCGGCAAACGAGGATTTTATCTCTTAATATACAGTATGTAGAAGCCAAATGGAGTAAATTCATTATTTTGGTTACGGTACCTATATATTTTAACAAAATCCCGAAACAAGTCCAATTTAAATTATAATTTGACATACTTCAACGGAAAAATGCTACTCCTACCTTCAACCCCCGTTGAATGACAGGGAAAACCCCCAATTTCTTAAATGGGACGCATATGCTTGTGATATATCGTTTGAAAGGTCTCTTCATTCTCTATTCAGAAATGTTATTGCTTTCGAATTTATTGCAACTATTAA